TTGTTTTATTTTAGGTCATCTTTTAAAGAGTTTAATAAATAGAAATTTTACAGAATTCTTGATCGCCTTTTAAAATAAAAATATTTTTAATTTTATTTGCAAATAAAATTATGACTTTAATTGTTTTTGTTGGATTGTTTGAATAAAAAGAACGGGAAAATTTCAAACTAATATTACACAGGCTTAAAGGGGTGTCTGGCACCCCCAGGTCGTACCTCTCCTTTCAAAAGGGGAAGGGCTAAGGGGATGACTTGCGCAAATTTTCCACGGTATTGCCGGTAAGCCCACTTTAATCGATGACCTTGTGTCACCTTCGGTTCCGACGTAGGCTTGATGAAAAACCTTCTCTAGATTTTGATATGAGTCATGAAAATTTGGGCGAGGTCGTAGGTTTTTGAAAATAAATTCTACTTTCATTTCTTTTCTTTTTTTGTCTTTGGCGAACGGGAAAAAAAAACATGAATTAAATTTTCATTTCTCAGAATTTGATCGAAAAAATCTAATTTCATTTTATTTTCTCCGCATTCATAAAATTACATTTAAAATTCATTTCAGTTTTTACATTTCAAATAAAAGTTAATGTTAACATGGATTTTTATTTCTATTATATAAATTGTAGATTTCAACTTCTATTAATTAAATATTAAATTATCGTTACTAATTAATATTTAATTATTATGGCAATGATATCTGAATATACATTTGAAATTCGGCTGGAAAAGAAAAGTTGTTATTTGTTAACAAATTATTTTCATGAATTTTGAATGTTTATGAAATGAAAGTTAAACACAAAAAATCAATTTATATAAAAAAAATAGACAATATATATTTGTATAGTTGAGGATTGACAATGAAAGTGATTAGAAAGAGACGTAAATTTTGATGATTTTATGGACAAGATAGATAGATAGATAGATAGATAGATAGATAGATAGATAGACATGGGCAGAGGCTGGATTAGATAGATAGATAGATAGATAGATAGATAGATAGATAGATAGATAGATAAACAGGAGCAGAGGATGGAATAGATAGATAGATAGATAGATAGATAGATAGATAGATAGATGGAATAGATAGATATGTGCAGAGATATAGATAGATAGATAGATAGATAAACAGGAGCAGAGGATGGAATAGACAGATAGATAGACAGACAAACATGGGCAGCGGCTGGAATACATAGATAGATAGATAGTTTAATTCTTTCCATTCAAATGACGCCAGCTATTTAAAAAGAAAAGAAAGAAAAACGAATATTCCCCCCCACTCTTTCATAATACCTTACCTTTTTCTCCTTCACTTATCCCCTCCATACTTTCCCTCCCTTGTTATCTTATGAAACGCCCTTTAGTCAAGTGGTTTGATTATTCTCGTCCAATGAATGCCTTACACTCCGATGACGTCACAGTGCTTTCCACTTCACTTCACATTGCGAGAAACAACACCAAGAAGTAGTCATCATATTTTTGCTTTCCCAAATTTCAAGAAAACCTAGTGAAATCAAAACGAAATCAAATGTAAGTCAGAATTTTTATATCGATTTTCAAATAATCGAAATTTCACAAATGTTTTCATCAAAACAACGAGAATTTCTGTTTTTGTTTTATTTTCTCTTTTCCTACCTTTTTTATTCATGAGATAAACTTATTTTCTTTTATTTTCTCTCTCCGTATAATTTAAAAAAAAATGTCTGATCCGAATTCTGTGGTAAAATAAATTCGTTTTTAGTTAATATTTCGGATAAAATCTTTCCAATGATATCAGAAAGATTAAAAATTACTTTTATTTCTGTTTATTTTAAGCATGTTCACTGTTTTCGCGGGAAAACAGCATATAGCGTAATGAAAATGCCACAAACTTAACTAAAATAAATTTTTATCGTCAAAATGCTTATGTTATTATTAAGATGAAAGACCAAAGTATTTTTTAATTATTTTTTGAAATTTTTTAATCCTTTCTAACACGTTCGAAATTTTGGTTAAATTCTTCTTTTGTTTACGTCATCGCGGCGTCACAGAAAATAACATACTTTTTTTTTGCGATTTTTTTTCGTTGAAAACATATTGATTTGGAAATTCTTGTAAAAATCAAGTAATTGTCCGATTTTAATGAAATTTTCAGGACTTATTCACAAATCAATGAAATTATTTTTGAAATATTTTTTTTAGAAAATTTTGGTAAAAAATATTTTTTTAAAATATGTTACCCCACATTTACTTAATTTAATGAAATTTCGCCCAAAACCTTTTTGGTTCCTGAATTTTTTTTTTTTTTTTTTTGTTAAAAGTAGGAGTCTTCGAAGATGGTAAATAACCTACTTCTTTTTGTCAAATTTGAGCTATTTAACTGAAAATCTTGTCTGAATTGAAAAATAATGAATCCAATAAAACTATGATAATACTTAATTAGAAAAGCTTTTAATTGCTTTTGTAAATAAGTGATATTGAGGACATTATTGTCTGAAGAAATAATTTTTTTCTGATGAATAATTAATTTTCACAATTTTTTTAAGAAATTTTAATTATAATAATTTATAATAGTTTAACATCGTGTAAAGCTCTGTATTAGGAGGGTTCCTCAATATTATGTAGTAATTAAGTAGAAAAAAATTTACGAGTCCAAAATTGCTAAGTTTAATAAATTTAGTTGCGCTACTTTTTTTTAAAAATAATTTTTTTTTATGTTGTGTTTTTTACTTAATACATTCCTTATTTCCATGTATGATATACAGAAATTGCCATTATTATAACAAGGTCACGTGATCTAAGGGCTTTGTCCCTTTACGTGGCCTTTTCATAACATTTCGTTTCTTACAGGTTGTATTTTCTGTTCAGCTTTAAAAGTGTAAACTTTAAATTTTTTAAAGTAATTTTTCTTTTTTTCATTTACTATTTCACTAAATAATTTTATTTTATATATTGTATTTCCATTAGTGTGTATCATACTCAAATAGAATATTTTTTTTTAAAACTCAGACTTAAAAATTATGTCATTTATGGTCATCAGTAGTAGATGTCATCGGCTCGTCAATCAACCATTATCAATAGATCGAACAGATGAACAGGACCGCTCGTTAATAATTGGTTGTATATTATTTTTTATGCTATAAGTAACAAAGATTTCTTTCAAATCAGATTACTTTAACTTTAAATTTTTTAATTTTACTAAAATAACGTGTCAGAAATTTTCTTAAATATTTTCAAAATCGATAAATTTGTGTTTGTTTATAAATTTCTTAAAGTTAAGAAAATGGCCGTTTTTAAGAAAATTTAAAAATTTGAAATTAAATTTGACAATCAAATGTATATAGTTTCTATCTGAAATACACCAAAATTGTTTAATTAATAGAAATCGTAAATTTAATTATTAAACTTTCAATTAAAGCTAAAACTGAAATCTTCAAGAATGTTTTTTCATTGTAAAAAATTCATTTTAAACTTCAATATAGAAAATTTATGCCGAAATAGTGGAGGTACTTAGTTTATTTATGTCGTCTGCTTGTTTCTTTCCTTTTAATCATCGAATTTGTTTTCTTTTGCTTTCTTCCTCCTTCTTTATTTCGATTGTAGACAATTTGTAATATTTCCTAAAACTTTATTCACTTCTTGGCACTACTTAAATATATTGGTCCATTTTTATTAAAATGGTGAACATTTTGTGGGGGAGGCAATTATTTTTTGTAGATTAAATTTCATTGGATTTTCTTGAAACGACGACGATATTTTTCAGAATCGAAAAATGATTCATTATTTTTCCATTTAAAAAGTGAGGGTCTTGTTCATAATATCAATATTGTGTAAAAACGATCCCTGACTTTGGAAGAATTATTTGACTTAAATTCTTATTTACAAACATATTTATCGCTTCTTTTTTTGGGGGTGGGGAATAATTTTTTTTTTATCTTAAATGAAGAATAAACGAATTTAATTTATGTGACTTTTTTCATACGAAACTTGTGTTTATTTTTTTCTTCTTTAAACGAAGTTTTTCATAAAAAATTAAACTTTTTTAGAAAAATCTGGGATCGATTTCACATTTTAACGATATTACAAACAGGATCCCTTTATGTAAAACAAAAACATTTTTGTTTCTGTCAATCGTCATGGCTTTGAAAGTCTAATAAATGTTAATCTACAAAAATATTTTATAGGCCCCCCAAAAATGAACCCATTTAAAAAAGAAAAATATTTTAATGAGTGGATCAATTTATTTAAAATGGATTCAATTTTGTCATAAAAAAATGAATCGTTTCGTAAGCAGACGATAAAAAGCCGCCATTTTGTAAATTTCTTAAATCGTGTCCAGTGAAAGAAAGGGTGAAGCAATTGAATTAACATCTGAATGTTAAAATTGATTGTGAAGCCAGCAAATTGGAGCTTTTCTCTCTCTGTTACTTTTACCCTTTCTTTCTTTCCCTTTTCTCGTATTGGTCTTCTCTTTCTCTCTCCTCTCACTTCTGCATCGATAACCACTCTCTCCTTTGTTTCTTTCGATTTCTCTCACTTTTTCACTCACTCTGACAAACTCTATATTTCCTACTCCCACTCTCTCTATATATTTTATTTTTTCTCTCTCACTCTCACTATTCCCCGTTCCCCACTCTCTTATTTCGTTCTCTTTTCTCTTAACCCACCTCCCAGCCTTTATTTATTTGTGATTTTAGAAGAAAACTAAAATTTTTCAGGAATTTTTTTTTTGTTTTTCTTGTAAAATCCCAAAATTTCGCTTCATTTTATTTTCGGTTTTAAAAATCGACTTTTTATGATTTCGAACTTTGACCTTTTCTTTATTTCCTAAAAATAAGATTTTTTTTTCTTTCGTATTTTCAGATTTCATTTTTCCTGAAGGAAATCAAATAAATGGCAAGGATTGAACAGACGAAGAAATCGATTGAACAATTATCAATCGATTGCGACGTGAATTGCTACAAAGTCAGGCAAGAATTCGATGAATTTCTGGAAAAGACGAGGAGGAAGGCCGCAGAGTTGTGCAACCAAATGAGAGAAAATACGACCGAAGAAGAAAGAAAATGGCGCCAAATCCTCGAAGAGAAAGAAAGATTTCCATTAAGCGACGACGACGACGACGAAGAAGTTGTTTCTGATGTACAGATGCTGGGAGCGGAGTTTTCAGGGCGGCTCCACGAATCTTTCACTCCTGTGGAAGAAGGTCATTTTGTGGTGACCTTTCCAGAATGGTGCCAACGATCATTAAACCAACTTCAAAAAGAAATCGTCGACTTTAAGACACGGCATCGAATGGATTTGGAACTTGAAAGCGAATTCCGACTGCAGGATTCGAACCTGCGGTGGATTGAGTCGATTGCCGCCAGCAACGAAGACGTTCACGTGTTTGTTGTCGATTGGGCCGACAAATCGATCAAGGAATTCGCTGAGACTGGGGAAATTGTCGGCCAATGTCCCTTGAGGGACGAAGGATTCTTACCCTGGGACATTTGTTGTCTTTCCAAAGACAATTTCGTTGTTTGTGGGTGGGGGGAGGGGAGGGCGAGGGGAGGACTTACGTTTTTGGCGCGAAGAAAAAATCCGCCATTTTTAGAAAAAGAAAAAAGAATCAAAACAAAAAAAAGTCGATTTTTTTCTTCTTTGTGTCAAACGAACGAAAAGATTTTCGTTTGTGATTGGAATTTTAAAGAAATTTTATGTTATTCTAAAGAAGGAAATGAAATCAAAAGAATCCAACTTGAAAAATCGCTGGGGTCGGGTTTTCTCCGCCCCCTCCTTCGTGCCGATCTCTCGACCTGGAATTTGTGGGGGGCAAGACGAGGAATGTCAGAATTCTTCGTTTGGAATCAAAATGGCCAAATTCTTCAAATCGTCAAAACTGGAAAAGAAATTCTCGATTTTTGTGCCGATGAATTTGGTTTTTTTTATTTTTGCAACGAGGAAGGAATTTTTTCTGTCTTACCAGAAAAAATTCTGTACAAATTTCCGAAAAAATCTGAAAATTATCCGAAGATTTTTGTTTCTGGAAAAAAATTGTTTGTTTTTTTTAAAAACGACGGAGAAAATTTAATGAAAATTTTCAAAATTTATTAAAAAAAAAAAAATTTTAATTTTTTTCGTGAATTTTACAAATAAAATTTATTTTAATTAAAATTCTTCTTTTTTTTATTTTATGGAAAATTTTGAAAATTTAAAAAAATAATATTAATTTTAATTAAAATTGTTTTTTGTTTTTCTTCTTTTTGATGTGAATAAATTTTCGTCTAAATTTTTGTGAATGTTTTTAATGATTTTCCAATATGAGTTCAGGTAAATAAGACGAAAAAATGTTTATTTTTCGTAATATGAGTCGAGACAAATAAATTTTTAAAAAAATGTTTATTATTTCTATGAAAAAAAAACAATGGATTTTACAAGTTTTTTTCATTTGTTGTCATTTTTTTTGCTTCTCCGACCATCAAAAGTTGACAAAAATGTGGAATTGAATTTGATTGAATGGAATTAAAGATTAAAAAAAAAAATCGATTAAAATTGATCGATTTTTTTTTTTTTTTTTTTACCGAGGAAATATTTTATTTATTTATTTTTTCTTACCGAAGACATTTCTGAAATTTTTACATTTTTTTTATCTAATAACAATATGAGGAGAGTCAAATAATTAAAACTATTTTCTTTCTTCGGAGTTGGGTGGGGGGTCATATTGATGCCCCAGGGTAAGGAAAGATTTTTTTTAAAAAGGATATTTCGTGGGTCCCAGCTGGAAGAGTAGGTCGATAGGAAAGCGTGTGGCCCGTTTTTACCGGACGGAAAATGACGTCCGGAGAGGGGGGGGGGTAAAAACAACAACAATCATCATCATCATCATTAATAAGAATTCTAGAATAAAATGGGCAGAGGAATTCTACCCGATTTCGATCGGTTTTATCTAGTTTGCAAATGGCTATCTATATTTTCTATGAGTTTATCAGGTTCCAAAAAAATCGATAATGTCTGTCTACAGAAAGAATGATCGTTTGTCGACACCCTGGGTCTACCATTGTGTTGTCCAGAAGATTCATGACCACCGATGGCGCGCATTTCTCAAAACCCGATTTCGATGCGGTTTTCAGAAAACAGACCGGTTTGCAAATTGGCTCAACATGTGAAGTTTCAACTCCCCCCAAACAGGAAATCGACAATCTGGATTTTTCCGGTTAGGTATTTCATAAATGTTAAATTTAAGGACGCTATGCGCGGGACGAACACCCATTTGACCTCAAATTCTGGAAGAGGGCAATCCGTGAAGACGCACTTCCCTACTGAAAATACCGCATCAACGTGAAAATGGTTCTGCCCTCAGCAGTCCATTTGCAGAACAGGGCATCCCGACCTGACGGAGTTTTTGCGCTAAAACAGCAGGGCTTTCGCCTTACGCTGCCAAATCAACGTGAGTGAATGCGCGGTTACAGATGATACAGCAATCAATGACAAGTCACGCTCCCTTTAAATACCTTCAGCGCGGCTGCAGCTTGATTTGATCTGTCTTGGATTAATTGACAGTTTCCTGCAACCGTCAGTTACCTATTTGCTTAAACGTTTGCATTACCCATTTTATCGCCGCGTGCTTCTGCGTCCATCTTGGCGTTCCATACTATTTCAACCTTTTCGGCAGTTTCTCTGACAGTTAACTGCTGTCAAAACATTCACACAATCGTTTGCCCAACTATTTTATCTCACGTTACAGTTTTACTGTAAAAAGCCTCACCGGCTACGCGGCCCAAAACACCTCAGGATTCCATTTGCTTAAAAGTTTGCATTACCCATTTTATATCCCGTGCTGCGGGAGTCCATCTTAGCGTTCCATACCGGCATTTGGCGTTTTGCTATTAGACAGTTAACCTGTGCAAGTTTCGCTTCTGCCTTTACTACGCGGCCCAGTGACCAGTGGCGATGACCGCTTCATCGTTTTCGGCACCTCTCCTTACAGCGACAAATGCTGCCAGAAAGCACGTCCCATATTCGTTTATACATATTCGTTGAAAAGTAAGTGGAAACTACCTAAACTCTTGCAAGACAAAAAAAAAAAACAAAAAAAAAACGGTTACATCACAAGCGCTTTTGCGGTCTCGACAGAGCTCGCATCGAAAAACTACTCGCAATGCAGTCGACGCCGTTGCAACTTCCATTCGATGGTCCCAGTAGATCACGGCTGAGAAAACCGCACGTAACGCAGCGAAAGCTGCGGCAACGTCCATTCGACGGTCTCAGGAATCTATAGCTGAGAAAACCGCACGCCATGCGGCCGACGCCGCTGCAACTTCTGCTGCAAGGGCGTCGGAAACTTCCGTACAAAAGCGCACAAGGCGGCAACATGATGCAATTTCAACTTCCGCTGATGAGCTGTAGAAGGTTGCAGACTGTTAAACAGCGCCGCCATGCACAGCGAGGGCTCTGTAGCCCACCAAAGCAGTTTTGGTTTAAGCTGGCGTTCAACTCCGCTCGCAAAGACCTCCAAATAGGATCCATATCAGTTGTCTGTGGTCATTGCAATGCCAAAAAATGGCCTGGAGAATCTGCAGGTTTGTGTTGTTCAGACGGTAAGGTACAGTTACCAACTTTTCAAGAGCTACCTGCATTTTGAAAGCTCTGTTGAAGAGTTCCAGTCCAGACTCCAAACATTTCCTCGCAAAAATCAGACAGTACAATTGTGCCTTCCAGATGACCTCTTTTGTTGGTAATGACTTCCGCGAAGTCGGTTGGAATCCCACCTTCAAGGTTCAAGGTCAGGTTTACCACCGGATTGAGTCTATTTTGCCGGAAACTGCCACTGATTCGGCCTTTCTACAAATATACTTCCAAACTGACTACAATCAACAGGCAGATGCCCGCATGGACATTATTCCCGAGAACGATACAGACCAGGACAATCATCCTCGCAGGGATATCACAATGAGTTTCCAACAAATGCTCCACGAGACAAATAGCTGTGTCCGCAGTTTTAAGTATGCTCTCGAAAATAATACTTCTTCTGATTTCATTATTGTAATTGATGCTAACAAACGGCCTCAAGGAGAGCACGAACGTCGTTACAATACTCCCGCAAGTAACGAAGTTTCGTCATTGTCAGCGGTGATCAGCGCAACAGACGTGACATTGTTATCGAATTGCGCGGCAGTGGGCTCTGAAGAATCAGTGAAACGCACCTGTCCTACGATACACTGCAATACCCACTTCTCTTCCCTTAAGGAGATGGGTACCACTTTGGTATTCTGCAAAATGGGTCCACCTTAAAAACAGTGTCTTGCAGGGCTTTCTACGCCTATCTATTGATGGTACATGAGGGTGCATTCAATCATGTTCATCGAAGCCTGCAACTTTTCCATCAATTCATAGTCGACATGGCTGCTAAGTTGGAATCCGAAAGACTCTGTTACATCAGATTGAATCAGACCAATTTGAGCTGCGACTCTTACATTCACCTCCGTGATGCTTTATGAAATGACGCTAAACCACGCAATATAGGCAAGGTGTGCATACCACCTGCAATGTTCACAAGCAGTCCACGATACATGCACGCGAGGACACAAGACACAAGACGCGATGACATACGTTCGTAAGTACCGCCGACCAGACCTATTCATAAATTTAACGTGTAACCCAAAATGGTACGCAATTGCTAAAGAACTTATGCCAGGGCAATCGCCCTACGACCGTCCAGACCTCATTGCGCGCATTTATCAACTGAAGTTGGGAAAGCTAATGGATGTGATTACAAAGTGCCAGGTTTTGGGAGATGTTTGCTGTCGCATGCGTACTACTGAATGGCAGAAACGCGACCTGCCTCACGCACATATTCGAATTTGGCAAGGCAAGATTTGGCAAGACAAGATTGAGGGTACAGAAATCGATCATCTTATTTCTGCTGAAATTCCTGATCCATCGGCTGTCCTTGAATTATAAGAAATAGTGACAACCATCATGATTCATGGTCTCTGCCGTTCGCATTACAATGACCGGCGAAGGAGTCCCCTCAGGGGGAGAATTTACAGCCGTGGTAAAGGGCCACCAAGTGGATAACAGATGGGTATTGTCATACTGTCCCCTGCTAACAAAAGCGTTCAATGCGCACATCAATGTCGAATATTGCCATTCAGTTCGCTCCATCAAGTATGTATGCAAGTACATCAACAAAGGGACTGATGCTGCAATGTTTGGTATTAGGCAGGAAGGTTCCGTAGACGAAATCCAGGACTTCTTAGCAGGGCGCGTCATTAGCAGCACAAAGTGCCCTTGGCACATATTCAGCTTCCCCATCCACGAAGGCTTCTCAGCAATCGTCCAGCTTGCTGTGCACCTAGAAAACGACGAACGAATGAAGGAACACATCATCGTGCCTGCCGAATCGAGATCAGGCTACGTAAAGTTGGCCGTATGAGAAGCACTGCTCCTCTAAGTGTACACCAGTGACAGACAGCGTTTGTCCTTGGGTCTTATTAATTGTCATAGCAAAACAGGGTGCGAATGGGAATGCGGATTATCTGAAACTGAAGGGTACATCTGCATCTGATAGGCACAAATGCATCCTTGGGATAAGCAATTCCTCCCCTTTACCGCATAACTGTGAAGCATTGAACTCATCGACAACTAATGTATAGTTACAAGCATCAATTGTCTCTCCTCACATCACCATAATATATGTACAGAAATGAATGACCCCAACCAGATTACGGGCCCTTTCAAAAATACGTGCGAGACGCCTTCGTGCAGCAAATAATCGATAAAAAGATCCGGTCCGGCCCTGCCATCAGCTGTCAGTTTTTGACTTCTTTTCACGTCCAGGCTGCAATTAACGTCAAATATCGATTCAACTTCCGATATTTACGGCGTCAATTCGTAACGGAGACAGATTTTCAATTTGGAGTCTGTCTTTCAAAAAATTGGTAAATCGGCTGGTACTCCGGTATTTGGGCGGAATACATTCTAAAATTTCGGGCGTTATTTACAATTCAACCAGAAATTCCTACGCGGCCCATTTAGATGTACCTTGCATAGAATGCCGTGTGACCCCGTCATTACTCAATAATCGATACAAACCTCCGTGTTGACCATGTCCTCAGCAGTCTGTTTCCCACTTCTTTAAACTGTGTTCTTTCTCCCAGGCCGCATCCCAGATCCGATTTTTCAATTTACGTCATTGTTTCATGCCGGAGCCCGATTTTTTATTTGGAACTCAAAAAAACCGATTACCTCACAGATGATACGGATTTTGGGGATTTTAAGTTGAATGGCTCGCCTGCACTACGCGGCCCAGTACATCTAAGCTTTTCAACTCATTTTGGACTCTGTGCAGTTGACTTTGCGTTGTTAAACACTTTTGAGCTCTTTTTATTTGAACTTAAAATCGGATCAATATATGGTTTCCAAAGTACCGTGTTTACAAAACAAGGGCAACAACACCCCTGCCCAAGTAGTATGACCAGTCTCAATATTTAAGAAAACTGGGTTGCGTGTGAAAAAGTATTTGTTGTTAACATTGTTTATTCATTCGGTTTTTCCAGTTACAAGTCCTTTTTTAAAGCTGATCGTTTTGCGTTCATTTTGTTTAGTTCTTTTTTCGTAACAGATTTAATGTTTAGTATAGAGCTTAGAAAAAAAATCGCAGTGCGTGATAGGCAAGAAGTAAGGCATGTAGCAACATCAGCACGGCAAAGGGCGCTCCTTTAAAGGCAAGGAAGGGCAAAAATATTTTAAGTCAAATGATAGCGATTGCTGTATGAGTCGTACGATTTTTGAATGAAGCTCGGGCAACGCCGGGCCATGCTGCTAGTCAGTGATAAAATCCTTTCTTTTTCACAGACTCTCTCCTCTTCCCGCTTCTAAATTTCATTCCTACCTTCCTTCCTCTCCCTTAAACTGTTTTTCTCTCTTTCTTTTCTCCACCCACGACTTTTTTTGTCTCTCTCTATTTGGTTATGTTTTTTAAAACCATTCAATTCTGCAATTTTTCGATGACCGCAAACAAAAGAAAAATGAAAGCCACTCGATCCAAGAGGAATCTTTAAGTCAATCAAATGAGAGGAGGCTGTGGAGAGCCATAAACCCATTATATCTTGAAGAGAAATGAAATTGAATAAGGAAATAAACAAAAATAGATTTGAGTCGTAGCCATATTTACTGTTTTCTTAATGCATTTTCTTTCTATTAAACAAAATATGAAACTGAATCCATTTGGCTGGTATTATAGCAAGGTGGTTGGACACAAACGACCGAAGATTTCCAGTTTTGCCAGATTTGATGAGTTGCAATAGACAATTTTTTATATATATATATATATATATATATATATATATATATATATATATATATATATATATATATATATATATATATATATATATATGTATATATATATATGTATGTATGTATGTATGTATGTATGTACAGCAAATAATCCTTCAGAGACAAGAGAGAAGTTCCGTCAGAAATTGACCAAAGTTCATATTGGAAGAGAAATATGGTTCAAGTGTTTCAACTTTCATAAGTCATCATCAGGGGAGGTAGAAAGAATTACATAGTAGGGTAGACTGACCTGTCTAGCCTTGAATGACAACAAGCCAAGGGTAAAGATTAAATGACATTTCACAGATATTGTATAAAAAAAAATGGAGTCTGTGGAGAGCCACAACCGCTTACTCTTAGGTTCGGAATAAAAGGGTAGGATGGAATTAAAGGGACCATCCGTTCTATTCCGAACGGGAGATTAAGTCCTGAAGGGGAGAAAAGCAACAAAGAGGGTGGGGGGAAGAAGTACTCATAACATTGTCGTCGTTGTTGTTGTTGTTATTGTTGTAGTTTTCTTCTTCTTCTTCTTCTTCTTCTTCTTCTTTTCTTCTTCTTCTTCTTCTTCTTCTTCTTCTTCTTCTTCTTCAATTTTTCTTCTTCTTCTTCTTCTTCTTCTTCTTCTTCTTCTTCTTCTTCTTCTTCTTCTTCTTCTTCTTCTTCTTCTTCTTCTTCTTCTTATTTCTTCTTCTTCTTCTTCTTCTTCTTCTTCTTCTTCTTCTTCTTCTTCTTCTTCTTCTTCTTCTTCTTCTTCTTCTTCTTCTTTTCTTCTTCTTCTTCTTCTTCTTCTTCTTCTTCTTCTTCTTCTTCTTCTTCTTCTTCTTCTTCTTCTTCTTCTTCTTCTTCTTCAGAATCTTCTTCTTCTTCTTATTCTTCTTCTTCTTCTTCTTCTTCTTCTTCTTCTTCTTCTTCTTAAGAGAAATATTCTTCTTCTTCTTCTATTTCTTCTTCTTCTTCTTCTTATTCTTCTTCTTCTTCTTCTTCTTCTTCTTCTTCTTCTTCTTCTTCTTCTTCTTCTTCTTCTTCTTCTTCTTCTTCTTCTTCTTCTTCTTAAAATGAAATTCTTC